TTTACAAACACAAGAATAATGAAGTTTGATGAGAGTATATCATGTTATTGGTGAAGGTTTTCTTCAAGGCAAGAACAACAAATGTACAAAATCATAAGTCTTTTCTGTCTATCTTTATTGCAAGAAAAATAATTACACACCCAACAAGTATTGGTGGAGGCCTGATGTGAAATATCGCAAATATTGTCAATTGGGACATATAGAAAATATATACAAATTATAACTAAAAGAAGTCGTCAAGGTTATATAGGATAGAGTAGAAGGAGAATTTCTCCTTACATCAATATGTTCTACAATCAACAAATTCACAGGTTGACTTATAGACAGTGGTTGTACAAATCACATGACTCATGATAGAGAACAAATAGATGTAAAAGGTACGAGAACAATTGCAGTTAAAAGTCATTCAAGTATCAAATTAATTTTTAATGTTTTATATGTTCTTAATATTAATCATAATTTGTTAAGTGTTGCTCAATTATTAGAGAAAAGTTATAAGGTATTTTTTGAACACAAACTGTGTGATTAAAGATACAAATAACTTGGAAATATTCAAAGTTCACATAAAAGGAAAAAAATTTACTTTAGATTTGATGAAAGAAAAGTTGATTACAAACGAGAATATAAAAGAAAAATCAAAGAAAAAACATGAAGAACATTTCTTGAATGAACTTGATGTTAAAGAGGAAAATAACTTGAAAATATTCAAAGTTCACGTGAAAGAAAAAAGTTTTATTTTAGATTTGATGGAAGAATAGTTGATTACAAATGAGGATATAAAAGAAAAGTCAAAGAAAAAACATGAACAATATTTCTTGAAGGAACTTGATGTTAAAAGAGGAAAATAAATAAATATTTTCCAACTTTCATCAAAGAGTCAACGGTACTACCATGAAGTTTGAAAGAAATAGAGGAGACAAAGTTGATAAAGGAAGAAATACTTTGATAAAGAAAGTGAAGTTAAATGAAGATGTAATCTCATACAAGAAAGAAAATGACAAGAAGTACAAACAAAAAAAAAGGAAAAATTCTAAGCAAAATCAAAGGAAGAATAACAAATTCAAATAAATAAATATTAAATTAAGGATGAATGTTGGGAATATTATTTTATTATCTTTTATTTAAATTAGGTATTAAAAGATTTTATTATCTTTTAAGAGAGAAGATAAAAAGATATTAGGTTATTATTTTGATTTAGAAATTGATATATTATTAATATTTGATATTTTGTAATATTTTTACTTTATATATACATAGAGTACATGAATAAAAAATATACTCACATAATATATCAGAAATACACATACACAAAACCCTAAAAATCCTATAAGTGGTATAATAGTTTTGGTTCGATACAATGGAAGGAGAAAGAAATTTTTCACAAGTCGTTATTCTAATTTTTTATGGCAAAAGTTATGACTTATGGGTTGTGAAAATACAATCTTATCTTGAAGGATTAGATGTATGAGAAGTTGTGGAATATTCTATTGTTGATCCACTACCTGAAAATCTCATCATAGCTCAAATGAAATTTCACAGACAAAAAAAACGAGGAAGGCAAAAGCCAAATCATGTCTGTTTGTTGGTGTTTCACAAATGATCCTCACCAGAATATGAGGCTAAAGTCACCCAAAGAAATTTAAGATTATTTGAAAGATCAATATGAAGGAGACGAGAAAATTCGAGGTATGAAAGTTTTAAACTTGATAACGGAATTTGAGATACAAAAGATGTAAGAGTATGAGACAAATAATGAATACTCAAACAATTTGTTGAGTATTGATAACAAAATAAAATTGTTAGGCAATAAATTTTCTAATTCCAGAATAGTTGAGAAAATTCTGGTAACTGTGTCAGAGAGATATGAAACATCTATTACACATTAGAAAACACAAAAGATTTGTCTAATATTACTTTGACAGAAGTGTTTTATACTTTACAAGCGCAAGAGCAACGAAGATTGATGAGAGAAGATCATGTTGTTGGTGAATGTTCTTTATTATATCATGGTGAAAGTTTTCTATAAGGCAAGAACAACAAATGTACAAAATCACAAGTCTTTTCTGTCTATCCTTATTGCAAGAAAAATAATCACACACCTAACAAGCGTTGGTGGAGGCCTGACATGAAATATCGCAAATATTGTCAATTGGAACATATAGAAAAGATATACAAATCACAACTAAAAGAAGTCGTCTCGTCATGGTTATATAGGATAGAGTAGAAGAAGAATTTCTCCTTGCATCAACATGCTCTACAATCAATAAATCCACATGTTGACTCATAGACAGTGGTTGTACAAACCACATGACTCATGATCAAGAATTTTTCAAAGAGCTAAACAACTCAACAAATCATATATTTCTAAAGTGAGAATCGGTAATAGAGAACAAATAGATGTGAAAGGTACGTGAACAATTGTAGTTATGTATCAAATTAATTTTTAATGTTTTATATGTTCATGATATTAATCATAATTTTTCAAGCGTTGCTCAATTATTGAAGAAAAGTTATAAGGTGTTTTTTGAACACAAACTTTGTGTGATTAAAAATACAAATAACTTGGAAAAATTCAAAATTTACGTGAAAGGAAAAAGTTTTACTTTAGATTTGATGAAAGAAGAGTTGATTACAAATGAGGATATAAAAGAAAAGTCAAAGAAAATGCATTGAAAATATTTCTTGAAGAAAGTTGATTTGATGTTAAAGAGGAAAATAAAAATGTAGATGAAGAAACAATTTTCAACTTTCATCAAATAGTCAACTGGTACTACCATAAAGTTTGAAAGAAACAAAGGAGATGAAGTTGATAAATGAAAAAAGTGAAGTTGAATGAAGATGTAATCTCATACAAGAAAGAAAATGATAAGAAGTACAAACAAAAAATGAGGAAAATTTCTAAGCAAAATCAAAGGAAGAATATCAAATTCAAATAAATAGATATTAAAGTAATGAGAAATGCTGGAAATATTACTTTATTATTTTTTATTTAAATTAGGTATTAAAAGATTTTATTATCTTTTAAGAGAGAAGATAAAAATATATTAGGTTATTATTTTGATTTAGACATTTATGATTGAGATATTATTAATATTTGATATTTTGCAATATTTTTACTCTATATATACATAAAGGACATGAATAAAAAATATACCCACATGATATATCGAAATAAACATACATAAAACCCTACAAATTTTCATCAGTGGTATCAGAACTTTGGTTTGGTTCGATCCAATAGAAGGAGATTTACTTTAGATTTGATGAAAGAAAAGTTGATTACAAACGAGGATATAAAAAAAAAAGGCAAAGAAAAAACATGAAGAATATTTCTTGAAGGAACTTGATGTTAAAGAGAAAAATAACTTGGAAATATTCAAAGTTCACATGAAAAGAATTTTTTTTACTTTAGATTTGATGAAAGAAGAGTTGATTACAAACCAGGATATAAAAGAAAAGTCAAAGAAAAAACATGAAGAATATTTCTTGAAGGAACTTGATGTTAAAGAGGAAAGTAATTTGGAAATATTCAAAATTCACATAAAAGAATTTTTTTTAACTTTAGATTTGATGAAAGAAGAGTTGATTACAAACGAGGATATAAAAGAAAAGTCAAAGAAAAAACATGAAGAATATTTCTTGAAGGAACTTGATATTAAAGAGGAAAATAAAGATATAAATAAAGAAACTGTTTCAAATTTTCATCAAAGAGGTATGTACATGAAGTTTGAAAGAAACAAATGAGACAAAGTTGATAAAGAAAAAAATATTTTAATAAAAAAAGTGAAGTTGAATGAAGATGTAATCTCGTAAAAAAAAGATGACAAAAAGTAAAAAAAAAAAGGAGGAAATTTTTTGAGAAAAATAAAAAAAAGAATAGAAAATTTAAATAAATAGATATTAAAGTAAGGAGGAATATTGAGAATATTATTTTATTATCTTTTATTTAAATTAAATATTAAAATATTTTATTATCTTTTAAGAAAGAAGATAAAAAGATATTAAATTATTATTTTGATTTAGACAATTATAATTAAGATATTATTAATATTTGATATTTTATAATATTTTTACTTTATATATATATAAAGTAAATAAATAAAAAATATACTCACATGATATATCATAAATATATATACACAAAATTTTTGTTGCTCCACTGTGGGCTTTTCATTTCCCCACCCGAACAAAATTCTTACACACCATTCCTTTATTCTGAAATGATTTTTTTTTACATTTTCAAGCTCACTTCAGAATGAAAAAGGAGGTCTTCAAGGTTTTTATGAAATAAAAATAAATAAATTGTTTTAAACTTTATTAATTTAATATTTAATAAAAACATTAACACTAGATGATAATTTACAAATAAAAATGTGTTCGTATGTGAAATTAAAACATCCTAAAATAAATAAATAAATCGTAAATTATTAATTATTACCAAATTTTATACTTCGAACAAAGTTTAGCAAAGTTTTACATATTTCCTAAAATAAATATATAACAAAGACAAATAAGATTTTCATAGTCAATTTAAATAGACAAATCATTGAGGAGCCTCTATTTCGAACTTGTCTCGTTAAAATAAGTAAACTCAATCAATCCAACAAACAATTTTTATTAAATATCTTATATGTTCATCTGTGGGAATATTTAAGTTTTTAACTCATGGTATTTTTTTTTATTTATAAATTATTAAAAAAAAATCTGGGGGTATACAAATAAAAATTCATTGCAGTGTGGAATTTAAATTTTTTACATCCCCTATAATCAATATAGAGAGTAAAACAAAAGAATCTGATTATACAAACAAAGCAACGGGCATTATTGCTCCATTATCCGTGTGATGTGATGATTCCAAAGTACAAACCAGAAAAAATAAAGAAGATTATAACAATCGCTCTCTCTCTTTCTCTCATATGTCGATCTAAAAAATAGAAAAAATATTAAAAAATCAGATATAAACAATCACTCTCTATATACCTTTTCAGTAAACACATTTTTCATTTTCTACTCCCGGTTCTACGTTTCACGTCAACTGGAGCCGGATGCCTTCCTGTTCGATGTGAGACCCCATTTGACTGTTTCAATGAAGGTGAAGGACCCAAAGGAGAAGATTGAACACCATTCTTGCTGCAAAATCGAAGATATATCATTAACATCCAATAAAAAAAATAAATCTGAAATAGACTTAGTAGAGTATGTTAGAAAAACATTTTACTAGAATATCACTTTTGCATTACCTCAACTCTGGGCTTTTTGCTGACTTTGAGATAGATCTCGTAGTCTTTGATCCAATTCCATTGGTCATGCTGCTGAGTTTGGAATGATTAAATTGCCAAAGCAAGTCAGGTTCTGAGGAATCACTGGTTGCAGCATCAAGCTCATCCGTGTCATCTGAACCCGCAATGTTAAACTGGTTGCCTCCTATGAACATATTGTAGGATTGTTCTGAGTACATTTTGGGAGAATCTTTGAGATATTTTTGATAAAAGGCCTCAGCTAAGTTCCCATTGCTTGCTTGCCAACACCCCAAGAGGTTCTCAGTTTTGTTTACGTCTTGCTTGTTGTTGACCATCACCTTGTCAACCCATTCTCCAGAACCAGATTCTTTGTCATCCTCCCCATAGTTTTGTCCAAGACTATTGTTCACTGGGGGCCATGGTGGTGAGTTTGCTGATATCTCATCAAAATCAAAGCTTTGAGTTTTGTGCCTCACTTTGGTATTAGTCTGAAGCTGCAGGATGAATTGTTCAAATTCCATCTCAGCTCAAAATGGAACAGTAGTAACCAATAAAATTTTGCATGATCTAGTTTTCTCGAGGACAGACTACTCCTTGACTAACAAAATCCTAATAATCTATGCTTTGAAGTCATATTCTCTCAATCTACTACCTAAGTAAACATAATGTAGATGGACACCTGCTAGGGAAAACACTCCATTGACAGTTCCCATTTCTTTCTTCACTTTCTTCTTGTCACGTCATATTACCTATATTTCTCTGTCTTATCTCTCTTTTTCTCTCTGGGTGTACAGTAGCAGTAGTTGGCCAGTGCCCATGAATCATTTTTGCAAGTAAAATGCCTATAACTGTGATGGTCCGTAAAATGATAAATGTCTAAGCATTTCATGCATGGTGCAATCAACAGCTTTTGCTAGTAAACGTGTTTATTAACCACAAAACAAGTAGTTGAGTATAACAGTATTTTGGTGATTTCATTGAATCATTAGTAACCACGTGTTTGTGGTTAAGTTCCAAAATCAAATCAAAATATTCTAAAGTAAATTCTCAATAGTAAATATAAATGAATTTCTGTCTTCCTACATGCATCAAATCACTTCGTAAAAAAGTGTAATTAGAATGCTTTATCAACATAAGAAACCACGACGAAAGAAGTATACATACCTCTATATTGCCAACCTCAACCATTGGTCGCCGGCATCCAAGTTGATCCCCAGTGTCAGTATCTCGCTGGTTCATATGATAAGGTGATAGCTCATTACCCTTTATCCTGTATTTTCCGGAGCTGCTGGATAAAGTATGTTCTGATTCTCCTTCCTTTCTTGCAAGTGCTGCCTTAAGGCTGGCAATCTGAAACATAATTAAATAGTTGGAGTTGATTAGACAGAAAAAAAATGAAATCACTAAGATTATCATCATGAAGAGAACCCGAAAATTTAGATTTGACTATCAACCTGTTCTTTGAGTTCTTTAACATCTGCACTATCTTTGTTTACTCTAGCAGCACCAAGTTCAACAGTGGCAACTCTTTCAGCAAATTTTAAGGTACTAATCGTTTCTCCAATAGCATCATACTCGGGACTTATGTGAACAAACATTAGAGTTTTTGCCTGTCCTCCTGAAACAATCCCAACCAACATTATCAGAATTCAAAGGAATTGTGCTGCTCAGGAACAGAAAGGAGTATATCTAGCTGGCAAACCAACTTCTTAAACCTTACCAAGTGAATCTTGGAGTAGTTGTGTGAGTTTACTATTTCTATAGGGTACATGTGAGTTTTTCTGAGCAAGAGAAGCAATGACATCTCCCAAAGCTGAAAGGGATTTGTTAATATGTTGTGCCTCTTTTAATCTATCTCCTGTGGCCTCAGATTTATCCACCCTCTCACTTCCTGCCAAGTCAACTAAATGCATGCATCCACGAAGGATAGCTCCAGATGTCAAATCTCTTCCTTGAACATGAACAGTCAAGCAACTGCCAAATTGATATTTGGAGAATACAATGGTTAGCTGTGCCCAAGAAATACCATCACAAAAGGTAAATATGATACACCATACCTATGAGATCGGCTACTGCGGTCATTAAGGGCTGTTGCTCCAACTGCACGGTTCCTTTGCCCAAGGTTCATTAGTTCAATAACATCAATAGTTGATGATACAGGGACAAGGCTTGCGTCGGGCACGCTGAGTCCTTTTTGAGAACTACTGCGAATTTCTAATGTATTAATAGTTAAGGGCAGCAAAGCAATCAATGCCATGTGTGTTCTATAATATTTATCATGTTTAAACTTGTTTTCTTTCATTAAGAGCAGCATTCAATGCAATGATGTACTATAATTTTTAAGGTTATACAAAATCCAAATAGACAAGACTTCTGTTGTTGTATACAAAACCGAAGAGAATCAAATATACTGGTAAAGGATATCTTTTGTTTGTTCCATCAGTGACTAAAAGATCCCTGACTTGCTCATTGTAAATTTCAATCATTTGAACAGAAACGTCATAATGGAAAGTGTCCTTTCTTTGATCCGCTATAAGAAACAAATCGCTTAGAGCCCTGTAATTTACACCTTGGCTTTTCTCTGTAATTTCTTTTGGTCCAGTCTACATGATAAAAACAAAAAGTCAGCAAAAGATCATCAAATCTTTTTCTTTTGCTTTCTAGTGAAAATTTCAAATGGATGTGGATCATACCATAGTGTAAGTTTTTCCTGATCCTGTTTGGCCATACGCAAATATGCAAACATTATAGCCATCAAGAACAGATCTAACGAGTGGCTGCATGTCTAAGAAGACCTCAGCTGCAACAGAAGAGAGAAATTTACAACCATACTAAAAAGTAGAAATCCTGTGGGTAATTGAAACCAAAAGCAAAAACAAACCTTGGGTTGCACATGGTCCAAAGATTTTGTTGAAGTTGAAGGACCTGCGTCCCTTCCCATTCTTTGAAAGAATATTAACTGTGATAGTTCCACCTTCTATATTTTCCACTGCGCTCAAATCGTTTGATTGTCCAGGAAAGAATGGTCTTACTCGACAATACACCCTAATACTCCCTGATGAAACATATTAATTCAATTTTGGGGTTAACAAATCACCTAGGCATAAAGACCTGGAGCAAAAGCAACAAGCAAACAGTGGTTTTTATTACCCTTAAGATCCTGGACTTGATTGTATAGTTTGCGATTTTCCTCAAGAACTCTATGATATCCAGAAGCAGCATTAGCTAAGCCATGAACGTGCATTCCTAGAAAGAAATATAAACAAGTTAAATAAGATGTAGTGTTTCATCCACCAATCACAAGGCAACAAAGAAAGTAGGAGAACCATAGTAAAAAGCTTAAAATGAATTAATCACTACCCTTACCAAGGTTGGAGAACTCCTCATGAAATTTCATTTGCATGAACTGCATACCAGATTTTGTTGTGTGAAGAGTATGCCTTAGCTCCTACAAAAACATAAAAATGGAAATATTAACTAATGTATCAAGAAACTGAAAAGAATTAAACGTGATAAGTATCATCTCGGATTCTCTACTTGAATTTCTCTTTGCTGCTGGTCAAAGAGCATTTTCTGCTTCAGAAGTTGTCTTTGCGATTCTTCATCAGCAACTTGATTTTTGTCAATGTGATGCTCTTTTTTTGTTACCATAGCATTGACATGATTTTTATGAATGGCATCCTCTTTATTCGTTACCATATGAATCTTCTTCTCCCCCTAATCGCAAAATAGATGACTATAAGAGTTAAACATTTTCAAGTTTCATCAAGGTCCTGGAATATGTTAATCACGAGCCATGTTACCTTTTTATCTGCTACAAAAGACACATTGCTTTGAGAAACAGGATCAATTGACGTTACTTTTGCCTGGAAAGTTACAAGATAATGAAGAAAATCAAGAACAGCTTGTCACCAAAATCAACTTGAGTAGGAACAAGTACACTCTAGGAATGGCTAAATAACTCGAAACAGGACAGACCGATTATCCAAAAACTAATGAAATTATGAGTAGATACAATTTTTCATACCTGTTCACCTTGGCTTGCTATTCGTTGTTCAAACTCCTCTACAACCTTGCTCAAAACAGATTCAACCAACTGTTCCGAGCACAAGAAAAATATTAAAACTTGTTTCAAAGGAACTCTCGCCCTTGTATTATGAATGACTAAATAGAACCGAAGCAGCTGGTGTCGAGTCATAAAACTGAAGCAGCTATGTCTTGTTCCATAATAATGTTATAATTTTCAAAAGCTCTTTATCATAATGTAGACTTATTTTCAATAAGGCATTACTTCATTAATAAAGTTGTGACGAAATTTGGCTGTGAAACATGAAGAGCTACTTGTTCTCTTACCATTGGAACTTCTTCTGGCTTCTTATCCGATAGAATTGCACGAACAAGCGAACTCAAAGAATGGGAACCCGACTGCAGTTATGGAAATATATATAAAAATACCCATTGGTTATGCTTTCGGTTCAACTAGACATATCCAGAGCAGGTACAGAAACCCAGCATACTTACCATTTTATCATACTCAGTGTCAGAATTAAGAACATTGAGTTGTTTTTCATTGATGGATGAAGTTCTTGACAAGGAATTAGTAAATGGGTCCGAATTTTTTCTAACAAAAGATTTGGTAGACACAGTGGGTTTAAGATTTCCACCAAATTTCCACACGCCATTTGCCCCGCTCATTTTCCATTCACTATAGGACTTCAGGGCCAACACGCAATTGACAATCCTAGACGATTTTCCTCCCTAAGATAACAAATAATTCAGTGGAAAACAAAAAACTGGTGTCATTAACTATTGAATTCACCGTGATACAAATTAGTTACTTGAATAAAAATTGTCACAAGTATCCAATGCTTTATTCACATACTTGTTCCAGATCAGATGCCTCAAAGGTAGGAAGTCCAATTTCTTGGACAGCCACCAGGAAATTCCTCACATTTTCAAAATATTGATATGCCGTTAATGGTGCCCCATCAGGGATCGATGCAGAATCAACAGGACTCTCCACAACCTTAAAAGAAGAATACATTATAAACAAACAGTTGCCAAAACACTAGCAAATCAAATTAAACAATGATCTAACTCACCTTGGGAACAGCTCCGGATTGAACTTTATTAATAACATTACAGAGAATAATCCCACTTCTCAAACCAAGCCTAAACTCTTCCTCAGAGGGCTCTGCTGGTAAATCCCTAGCCGCAACAACCCCAACCATTTTTCTCAACCACCCCGCTGCCTCATATCTTCTGGATGCTGCATGGTAAGACTTCTTCATTTCAGTGTAATTGATAATTGATTGTTTGATACAAAACCCAGATACTTTTTCTTTGAGAAACAAATTTGAAACTCATCAAATTTCAGTCAAATCAACCATCATATAAACAATAATACTTCACATTAAAAGATGAATTTTCACACGCTATTATTGGTATTAGACTTATAATAACCAATTCCAAAACTGAATTTTGATGGAAGCCCAGAAAAAACAATGGGAAAGTACCAGCTTCTTCTGCTTTCCTCGACTCCAAATCAAGATCTTTGAGGCGAGGACCGTGCTGCTGAAGCACGTCCTCCACCACTGATGCCACAGAAAATAACAACGCCACCTCTGCCGCCATAAAATGAACACGAAAAAGTGTTGTTAACAATGATGTTCTTGTCCCTGGCCACAGACCAAGAAGCTCATCTGCATTGCGCAATCTGATCCATCAGGTGGAGGAGGACGAGAAAGCTGGATTGGAATTCAAGAGATAAAGAAAAGAAAATAAAAGAAAAGATAAAGAATGTGATGTGAGGAACAGAGAAGAAGGAAGAAAGAATGAAAGAAAAGAACAAGGTGTTAAAAGCGTGTAATCGTTTTGTCTCTGTTATGGTGCTTGTCGATGATGCTATTGCATTGAGTGTTGTTGAGATATCTTTCCATGTTAGTTCCTTTACATTACCTTTAGCTTTTTTTTTTTCTCTTTTCTTTTTCTTCTGCCTCTTGCAGATACGAAGTGGAAGGTGTACATCAAACAACACAATTTCTGTATTGAAATCTGCTTTATACTCTCCACTCTCTCCTCTTCCCTTTCTCTTTCCCCCCACCTTAACTCCGAACCTACTCCCATACCTCACTCTTTCAAACCTACGTTCACTAAAATTAAGATTTATGCTTTTCCTACTACTTCTTTCCCAAGCCTCACTCTCTTCTAAGCGCGTGCATTTCTCCCACCTCTTCTTTGTTTTTTATGAATCATATACAATTTTTTGAGAGTATATTTCAATTATGAGACTTTCTTTGTCTTTCACCTGATATAATCTTATGTTTAACAGAAAAAATAAATATTAACACAGTGATTATAGTTCCATTTAATTTTAATTCCTATTTTTAGTTTTAATCTTTATATAAGAGTAAAATATTGTTTATTATCGATGAAACTCTTTTTCTTTAAATATCTAAAGACAGTTATATATATCTAGAATTGGAATTTTACACTATTGGAATGTATGACATGGTAATAATGGTGAAAACTAAACTTGAGGACCTTACACTTAGAAATTTTCCTTATAAAAAAAACAAATTTTAAAATGAAAATAATTATAGAGAAAAAAAAAGGGTTAATTTTTGTTTCTCCTGAAAAGATAGGTTGAGTGTAGATTGGTGGTGATTTGTGTAGGATACAGTCTCCTAAAAGGGATATTGTGGTTGGATTTCAGGATCCTACGGAAAAAGAATGTGCTAGCTAGATCTTCTCTTCTCAGGCTTGCTTCAACTTGCAGATAAATCACTCACACCTTTATTTCTTTCTTCTGCTGCAGTGAAGAAAACAAAAATACTAAGGAAAAAGAGACCAATAATAATTTCTCAAAAAGTAAACCCAATGATTTTATTTTTTCGGTTACAAACACATGTAATGATTTACTTGAAACAATCTTCATGATGTTGCTTTGGTTACATGAAAATGTTAATGATCTACATGATGCTTTAATTTTTGTAATATTATCAAGTGGCTAGACCAACCATTACATTATTATTATTATAAGCTATGTTTGTTTTACTGTTCCATTGAGACTCATGAACTTTCCTCCTTCCCCCCACCAACTTTATCAAAACCAACTTGGTGACATGAATACTTGTCATCCCTAATTATTTTGTTCTCTTTCATTCCAAGTTTCCAGCTTAATAATTACATACAAAAGAAAAGACATGAAGGTTGCATGTATAAACAATGGGTTTGGGGCATGACCCAGTCTTGTTCTATTGGTTGTCAGATGTAACCTTTATTTTTTAAATAAATTGAAGTGTATAATTTAAGAGTCAGGGTATTATGACAGTCTCTGCTAAAAAAACCTCCTCTTTGGGTCCAAAAAGAAAACATATATGATTCATATGCAGCTGCTAAAGAATTGTGTGAGAGAGGGTTGGGTTGTTGGTTTTGTTTGCTTGGTCAAGGGTGTATTTAGTAAAACTTAAAACATTGAAAAGTTAGTTACACTCTATTAGCCGAAAGCTGTGAGTGTTTTCAATTAAAAATATTTAGTTATTATTGGACTGTCAAATAAAAAAGTATTTGTACATACAATTTTTTATGTAAATTACTCTTCATATAATTTATATTTTTTAATTATTGATTAATTAAAGAAGAAGTTAACTAGAAATAGTTAAAGAAGAACACAGTGCGTTGAATGCAGTAAAGTTTCCAAGTGAAGGAAGTAAGTAAAAAGGTTGACACCAAATATTACAAGTTGTTTCTGGTTGGTCTGGTTGGTCATGCTAACTAGATTTATTTAATAAAATAATAGTTATTTTTAAGGGAAAATAAAAATAATATTATTTTATTAATATATATATATATATATATATATATTAAAATAATTATATATTTATTTATTTATTCTAAAAGTAAATTTTAAAAAATGATTTATTTTTATATTTAATTATTAAGATTAATTATTATTTAAATTAATAAATTACTAAAAATAAATAATAATAATAATAATAATAAATAAATTTTTATTTTTTATTTTAAGATTAAATAGATTTATTATCCTATAATTTATATATTAAATTATTATATTTTAAATAAAAATTAATTTTATTAATATAATTTAAAATTTAAAATATTTTTTATTTAAATATTTTTTAACTAATTAATTTTATATAAATATATTAATATTAAAAAAAATTAATCAGAACAAAATTAATTTATTAATCTATTAATCTAATATATAATAGATTAAACTAAATTTTTTAATCTATTTTAAAATATAAATAAGTTAGAGGATTAAAATTTTTTTATTTCACCCGTGCAACCATCTATACTGGACTGAACCGCCCACAACTCTAGGTTGACATTTGTATAAGATTGCATCTATTAGTAAATTGAAAATGAACAATTTGGTACAAGTTCTCTTTCGGTCAGTGCAATGGTTGTTGGGGAACAGTTATCTCCCCAGCCTTCAAATTAAAATCCAGATAGTGAAACAAAATGCAACAACCTTCTCATCCACCTCTAGTTTCCCAGGTTATATTCTTAACCACACGGGACATGGAACAAGAAAATTATTAGTAAAAACTCTAGGAGTGTAAGTGCAACAACCTTTTCAATTCAATGTTTTGTTTATATTTAGTAATCTAATTATATGTGGGTTAATTCATTAGATTGAATAAACTTTTAAAGAATTAAGAAAAAAAAAGACTTCACAACAAAAATTTTCAATATCTGTTAATAGTTATATATATATATATATATTAAAATTAAATTAAATAAAAATATTATGAGTTTGGAGGCAAACCATTTGACAAGAATGAGAATGAGAAAAAGTAAGAGTTAGAGAAGAAGACAAGGAGGAGGGCATAGTTGTGAATTGGACAAAGGAAGAGTACAAAGCACCCTCAACGTTCGAAAAAATTCAAATTGGTCGTTCGGAACCATAGCTATTAGGTTGGGAAAGGCCCACAAGAGCGCCTTAAATGGGACCCACTTTACCGACTGTCATAGGTCATCTATTGGGAATTAAAAGGATTGGCCGGCAATGTAATTGAAGTAAGCCATAATGTTTTTCCACGTGGCGAACTGCAACCGGCAACATGCTACTGTATCAACAACAATACTTTTATTGCGTATTGACATCATAAGCGCGTGGCGAATCTATTGGCCATGTATTTAGTAATCATAAATAACTTCATTCCATTACACATTTATCATTAATTATAGTAATTTCTTATCTAACAACAAAAGTATTACATTATTTTATTTTCAAGAAAAATATATATGTTTAACTTATTCAGTATTTATATGAAATATAAACATCATTATTATTATTATTAATAAAAGAGAACATAGGAAATAATATTAACGTTTTTTATAAAAAAAAAATTACATTATTTTTTTTAATATTTATTATTCAATTTCAGACAGCATTTTCTTTGTCCTGCAAGGGAGAAGAACTTAGTGGCCTTACAGCACTAAAGGCTATGCTATGCTTTAGATGTTGAATGGGATGTCGCTAGTTTATTTTGTTGGGTCCTGCATAATAGATGAATAATGATCATTATTGTTTGTTAATCAAAGTGATTAGTTTTCTATTATAATTTAAAATGCAAATAAATCTAAGAAAAGTTTATAACTACAGTTATTATTGAAAGGGTGAAGTTGCATGTTATTGCTTTTTTCTTTATGAGTTTCACATGTTAAGTGAGCCCACAATATTATACGATTATTGCGTGAATTGTGTTTGTGAAAATGCGCAGATTCATGCTGTCAACTCTGAAGATGGCCAGCCACATCATACAATGGAGGCACATGCACCTTCATTTTGTGCACAGCAATGCAAAATATTACTCTTTATTTAATTAATCTTTTCCCCAAACTCAATATTCTTTGCTTATATAATGCGTGCATACCTTCATTAATCTTTTCCTTTCAGAAATCAGAAAAAATTCGAATTAGTTTATCTTAAAATGAAAACAAACATGTATGTCAAAAATAGTGGCTAATTGATTACGACAATGACTATGATCCTTGTTTAAAAATTAAAATGCTCAAAAGAGGACAAATGTGTCAACATTGTTACAATCCCCTTGGCGGTTTGTATTTTTTTATTTATTTTCAAACTGAAAGGAAACTTTCAAATCTCAATTTGAATGTCATGACAAATTATTAATTCCAATGAGAATTTGATAAAATTATAACATTTTTTTTTATCAATGAAGTCTATGACTTTAAATTCAAATTCAAAAATTGATAATTCAAATTCAAATTCGAAAATTGATGTTATTATCATCAGTATGTCCATATTCTTCTTCTTTTTTATATAATGTGGATTTAACTTAATTTTGGTGTTTATCCACGATCTATATGACCCCAAAATATAAGATTTTCACTTATTATATTCATCATAGCAGTGGGGTTTTGGAGGATAATTTAGGGTTTGGTGAAAAAGATCCCAGAAGGTAAAAAATGATGAAGAAGGTGATGATAGATGGAAGTAGTGTGTAGAACAAAAAAAATAAAAATAAAGAGTGAAGAAAAATGTGCATATAATGATATTTGACAAAAACAAAAGGTAAACCTAACCATTACTTTCATTATTTTTATTTTTTGATTTGGTGGTGCAAGGTGTTGATGCGTTACCAAAATGTGGCTGAAGAGTAGGTGAGTTATTCTTGGTAAAGAGGGGGAGTTTAAACTCTATGAAGGGAATGAAAAGGGTTCCTTCAACATTTTATTTAGTTAATGGAGTATTAATGGTCATAATTCAAATAAATAATGGTCCACAAAACAAGGTCCACCATGAATGATGAAAGTATACCACTTTCATTTTTTTTTTTTGTGATTGAATATATTTTTATTGCATGCAAATAAAAAATATAAATAAAAATAACTCATCCAAACGTTGTATGACATGGAGAAGAATCCAAGGTATACAAAGAGTTTTGGTAAATAAAATAATCTAAGTGGTATCAATTTGAATAGTTTTCAAAAATTAATAGCATTTTTTTTAAGATAATATCTTGAACAAATACTAATATTACCGTGAATAAATTATTAGTTGTATTTACAAATAATACATGATTTATTATGAATTAAGAAAAGTCAATAGAAAAAAATCACTTAATTCAAAATAATATTATGAATTAGATTATTCTAATGGAATGATTTGTTGAGTTTGCATATCTTATATTTATAAGAACAAGAAAGTGTTATGCTTTTTAGAAATTTCATTGATTAAATATATAATAATATTATAATATATAAATAAATATAATTTTATTTTATTAAACTAATTTCATAGAATGAATTAAATATTTAATATAAATATTTATAAAAAAATATGCATTAATTATTTAAAATATCAAATCATTAGTTATAACGAAAATTCAAACTAAAAAAATTAACAAATGAAGTGAAACAAACTATAAATTTTATGTTAATTTGTCTAATAACTTAGTATTTAAAATGATGGGGATGAAGGTGAAATGAAAGCAATATATGGTGATTTCCCTTAAATATTTTGGATGTGATAGAATAAGAGTGAGAAAGGAATGGAATCCCATGTGTAATGTGTAGGCGTTTGGATGGGAAGGAGTGGAGGCAAACGCATGCTTAGTCTTTAATCTTGATGCTAAGAGTTGTCTAATAATGCCTCATCATGACCTCAAACTCATCTCAAAACCTTTTTTGTTATGAGATGAAAAAATAAATACAAGCTTTATGCGATAACACATGTTCCCCTAAAAACACTACAAAAGATAGGAATTAGGAATGTGATGGAGACGTGTTTCTTGGTACAGATAAACATGCCTCTTCTTCCACCTTTTGTTTTGTTTGGTATTCAAATGCCCCTTTCATTCTCACAACTCACCTTTGCCTAATGCCTCACACACAAAATAAAGTTATTACATTCCCTTTTTATTTAAGATTATTTATGTCATTTGTAAATATATATTTTTTCCTTTTCCTTTCTTGTCTGTTAAATCAAACAACTAAATAACCATCCCACTTTCAATTTTCACTTTCTTCCCTTTATTTTACTTTTATAAATCAAATAAAGTATTACCACAATCATTGTAAAATAAGTTAATATAATTGTCTTACAGAGTTTATAATTAAATAAAAATATAAAACAATTTTATATTATCGGTAACCCTTTTTCCCTAATTGAAGTATAAACTATTATAAGTTCAGGCCTAAGATATATACGTTATTATAAGATAAGGGTGAGTACTAAAGCTATTATCCGTAGAAGCATAAGTCTAAATCTAAATGTGGTCTTTTAAATTCACACATATAATATTAAATTTCCTGATAATCAAAATTATATCATAGACCATGTTTGGGAAAGTTTTTAAGTTAGGGTTTAACTTATTTGATTAGATAAAAAACTTGTTTGATTCGATGAAAAGAGCTTATTTTATCATATCAAAGGAAATTATTTTAATATTTTGCAACGTTTTGATTTCATTTTTAAAATGTTGTTTCACGTCACTTTTATTTTACCACATTTCTTTCTTTTATATTTGATTTATCATCATGTTCCGCTTAAAGTTAAGTTAATGCATTACCAATCATTCATTTAATCACTTAACTTATTAGCTGTTCGTTAACTTATGATTTTCAACTTCTTACTAGTCATTTTTTAACGGTTAACTAACTTATCAACTGATTGTGATATTCACATTCATATAGTTTTTTATAATTAATACAGAAATTTTAAGGTTGCATTCAACTCAAGTTCAAATGAAGTATTAAGTAAAAGTAGTTTAAAAAAAGATGCTTATAGTTTTATTTACAACCCATTTTATCTCGCTTTTTGTATCTTCTTGCTGCTTTCTATATTTCAAAATGTTAGAAACAATTTAAAAAAACTGATTTTCAATATAATTAAAAAAAACCAGATGTATAAAGAGAAGAAAAAGGCTTAAAAAACAACCTACCTTATCACAATGGCCGATATTCAGAATCAATACAACGGCTCGAAGAACATCCTCCTAAATAGCCAAAACACGCTTTGCTCCCTCATAATGCAACAGTGAATGCTACAGAAGAATTATTTATTAATTTTGTTAATTTCAATTTAAACGGTTTATTTGGTCATTAAACATGTCTCCATTTTAAGATTTAGTTCTACACAGAGCACACTAGACATTCTAGCAGATACATTTTTTTAGCAGTTTATCCCCACCAAAATGATTTTTTGAGAGGAACCAATTTTGCTGCAATCATGGTTTCGTTCAGTAAAGGAAACGAAATTGTTAGATAAAGATCTGGTGGCTAAAATCTTAAATGTGTTTTTTATGTCCAATTAGATATGTCTTCCATCTAGCAATTTTGATTCGCTAATTGCATGATTCTCATCAATTCAGTAAAACCAGATCCGCTAGATATGTGAAGCAACAAATCGTGCTAAATATGTTCTACAGGATATTATTCAGCTGTTTCAAAATCAAATAAGTTCCACTTTATCATCTTTATCGTCGTTATCACTCAAATCTATAATTATTCCTCAGTCTCCCTACAAAGACTTTGCACAACTTTGACCAGGGAAACCGGGCTCAATTGTGGTTGCAAATATGGGGGCTCTATCATACATAAACAACTAAGTCACAAAGAATGATATCTGAATCGCCAAAGGGTAGATTACTCAGCTGGACTAGCTTATGTTTTGGAATCTAACTGCTACAGAAGACAGATGACCACCAAGATCAATCGTCACAAAATATGAGGCTGTGAATCAGATGGAAAAAGAGAAACAAGGAATCGGTGAATCATTTCAAAGCTGGTGAATGTGATTACAGCAGCTGGCGTTGTCCTCAGAAGGTTGGTGGCACAACCTCTGTAAAAACCCGATATGCCTTCTTGTTGAAAAACCTTTCTAATACAGTCAATCACACCAGAGTACCGTTTCTCTGAATGATGCCCTTGTTCTTGCAGTCTGGACCGTACGACCTGCAAACAAAATACAAAATTATCTAATGTTTATCTGCCCAAAGAACATAAATGCAAAAATATTAAAATATTATTCCTAAAATTCCACCCCAATTATCAGCTACATGGCTTCGTAGTTTCAAATTTGGAAACGAAAGAACAAAGTGAGATAAAAATATTCAAGAAATAGTTAAATGTAATATTATTCTTGGAAGATTTATTAAACACTGAAAATAGATTCTAAGTCATATTTGCATCATATGGTGGGCGAGGTAACTCATTCACAAGACTAGGATACTAAAGGTATGAGTACCGTATGTGGACAAATAACCTGAACTAAACTACCTCAACCATTCGGCAACATACCTCATGAGGATAAGTCAATGTGGATGCAAAAATTTTGGAAACTGATGATGCAATCGCAACATCACGTGCACCAAGTTTATCCATTGCTGCGTCATCTGATACAGAAATAGTGAAAACATTAACTGTCAACTTTCAGGAGTTCACAAAAAGGCTGTAGACATGAACTTACCTTGATTTGCCAGATAAAATTTTATTGTTTCGTATGTCGGAAATTGGATGGCAACATGACTGACACCGGCCAAAGCAGGAACAAGGCCACTGTTCAAGGTAAAAAAAGTATTTTATAAAAGTCATTAAATCAGTATTCCAAATGCATTGACAATCATGTTGCATTTGTGCTAAGCAGCACCAACCTGTACAGACCCCGAATGCCCTCCTCATGGGCAATTCTCCTCAATGCAGATAGTGTGCCCCTATATGGCACAACACCAGATCTCATTCCTTGAGTCTGCATACAAAAAACCGAAAACTTATAATGCAGAATACATAAAATGCACTGAAAATAACAAATAAGGCAGAAGAAGCCATATAGTTCTATTGTCTATATGGTTTCATGCAAGATGAAGTTTATCGATACTAAAATGAGAAAGGTTCGTGCAGTTATCAATGCAATGCCTTCTATAATATTCATATACCCTTTCTCCTGAAAGGATAACACAATCTGCCAACAGCAAAAAATTGAGAGTAGCTGTTTTATGAGTTCAATATTTTCCCAATCCATGAGGTAAAGTTGTGTCAAGAATCATGTTGTCATGTTGCAAAGAAGTCACGCAGAAAGGAAAACAATGTCAAATTTATCGTGCCTTCAACCAAATTATGAATTATCAAATTCCATGATAATAATGATATATAAGACAATCAAATGAGCTTTTTACTCTCCAATAAATTTCTAATTACATGTACCACTCTGTGCATTATGCCAACATGTGAGACGTGGCTAGCATAATCAAATATATCTGCAAAAATTTAGCTTGAGTTGAAGAAACACACTTGGAGTCTAGTCTTGACAACCCATAAGGGATTTGTGAACATGGTAGTTGCAGCTCCAGCACCAGAAGCAGCTATCATATTAGATCCAATCGAAAGATGATGGCTTTCATCTGCATATATAACATAGTTATTATAATACTTAATCTAAATAATGAAGGGGGAACAGCAAGTTGGCCACATAAAAATAGAGGTTAATAAGTGAATTAATTAATTTCCTCACAAAAAGAATAATGCTTCCAACAATCTCATATTGGTTCAACAGAAAATAATCGTTAATGGACTAACCATCAGAATGAAGAAGGCTCTTAAACTGCTCGTATACACTAAAATAAACCTGCAGGTTCATAAATTGAAACAGTTAGAACACTATCAGTTTTCTGCTATTGAAAAAGTTGTGGACACATTAAAGATTTCTACCAGAACAATAAAATAAACCATTCAATAATCAACTAACTTTGCTTTTAAAAGTACTACTATTAGGGTGGATCATAGTAATACTCAGGACCTTTTTGTGTCATAACTATCAAGAATCACTAGGTACCTGGTCAATTAGTTTCACCTTTAGTTGAGGATTAAAGTTCACTATATTCAGTCTCCATCTCTGTGCTCTACATATATGGGCCATTCTTTAATTTATTTGAATGGCTTTGTGCACTTTGTTTATTTGAAAATCAATTCAGTATGAATACTAGCATCCATATGGTGTTAAGATAATGATGCATGCGGAGGTGTTTCTTTGAATGACAGTGGAAGATGTTTTATTGTTTTGGTATGCGCTGTTCACCTTCATTTTATTTTTCTTTATTATAAGTTTTTCTTGTCTACTATATTTGTACCTTCAATTCCAATCCCAATACAATTCTAATTTTAACACACTCTAATTCTCATTTGCATAGCAGTGTGCAGCCCTGTAAGTTATCACCCTGAACCAGCCATAAAAATGGAGGTTGATTGATACGTGGTCAAGGGTGCAATGATGTCGTACTCCAGTGGAAAAAAAAAAAAGGTGAACAAAAATCAAATCTGATAAGCAACTATAAAATGCGAATATTTTTAACTTAATTCAGAAGTATTAATGTTTCTCATGAATGACTTCATACCCCAAGCTTTTCAGAGATATAACATAATCCTTCATTTATGTCAACCTTCCACAGGGGCAAGGTAGGCATTAATTACTAGAGATATATTTCATTAACAAATTGAGGGTTGTAATTTAGAAGAGCAGATAGAAATTTTGGACGTGAAAGTAATGAATTTGTCAAGATTCTATTTGTTGTTTACTCCATAAAAAGAATAATACATCCAAAAGAACACAGACTGGGAGAAACGACTGACCGCCCAATTTGGAAGTAAAGCCAGCACAGTGGGCGCAAGCCCTCGGTACATGCCACGTAACCCCTCCTTGCGAAAAATTTGCTCCAAACTAGCAACTATTATGCTGCCTGGTAACAAACAGCACCCATCAGCTAAAGTCGTGATATTCAGTTTCAGCATATTAACCGATAGTAAACCTTCTCACTGTTGTTTTATCCTTCATATAACACTATCAACAATCTGAAATCTACAAACCATGGCAACATTTTATATTTTTATTTTGAATGACAGGCTACATACAGGGCAAGCAAACCTTCTTCATTATCTTGTTTCTATAATCAAACAAATAAAAAAGGAGCAGGAGGGAGGCCTGCGGTTTTACCTTTAACACTTCCATTGGCGAGCTGCGGGACACCATGAACCTGAAACCTAGTTTTGATGACATCTAAAGGACACACAAATGTAGCAGCAATAACCCCTGCACCAAATTACATACATGAAACCAGACAATTACAAAACAAATTCAGCAGAATGAAAATTGAAAAGGAAACTGCAATTAGAAAAAAAATAAGATGAAGGATACCCGCGGAAGCACCGGCGGCGGCATTGCAGAGGAGTCCCTTGGGATTTATATAATTAGCGGCGTGGGCGTCGGCAGACATGGGTGGAAAAACAGAGAGAGAAAGCGGCGATGATGAAAAAGAAATCCTCTCTGGAGAGGGCGCTGGCGGAGGAACAGGGTGGTCGCATGGCCTGAGAGTTGGGGCGCAAGGGAGAGACAAGTCGCACTCGCTCGATGGATCAATGGATCGATACTAAAGTTTTGGGATTAGATTAGGGTTTGGATCAGATCCAAGAACACGAGTCGAAACGGCACATTACATATGGTTTGTCTAATTCTCCTCCACCACAATACCAAACCAAACAACAAATACAACTCTCTCTCTCTCTCTCTCTCTCTCTCTACTATCTCTCTAACTCTCTATCTCTCATTACCTTTACTGGGTCCCCCAACTAATCCAAACTTTATTTATTGTCTAATCAATTTATCATTCTTAATAATTTGAAGAAGGAAGGCAAGCTTAGCTAGTTATGGTTCTTGATGACTTAATTATGAGAATATGTATATATATATATATATATATTTTTTTTTTTACTTTATAGATGTATATAAATATATATACATATATATATATATATATTTATATACATCTATAAAGTAAAAAATATATATATATACATATATATACGTTGAAATCGTACAACAAATTAAATAAATATTTTTCTAATATGATTAATTCCATATTAATTAACATCATCGCAACATTAATCTTGTTTTATCTTTTTTTAATTTACATTGTTAAAAAACTTTAAAACCTCTTTTTCACTCTTTAATCCATAAAGAACAGTGTATTAACCTTTTTTTTAATTTAACAAATATTAAAAAATAATCATATTTTTTATTTATATATTATTTTGTATGTAGATGTTATTTTTCTTTAGTATTATTCGATCCGTTATTGTTATGTTTGAAATTTATTTTAAAATTTTATTTTATTACGATTTTATAATTAAAATTCGTATTAGTGAATTAAAAAAATATTATATATAGTGAACGATTGGGACGGACATGGAATTATATGTTTATTTTTAAATATAAAATTTATTATTATATTATAAAAGAATATTAGTATATTATAATTTTTAAAATGCTTTTAAAGTATAACTTGTTAATTTTTTTTAAGAGAAATAATCTTATCTTTTTCAAATTTATTGATTCAGATATTTGTGGCATTATTTGGGAGTGTCATTATTACAAGTATTAGGAAACTGAGATAAAGTTGCAGAATATTTAAGAATAATTTTCCCTGTGATGTTTATAAGAATGGTATCCATAGACGATTTTTTATGACAGTGGCTTTATTTACTATTTAAGGTATGCTATTACGTGTTGTGCCAGGCATATGTCATTATGTCAACGTGATAATTCTTTAGTTAGACATCAAATGGAAACACATGTTTTGATGGCAAAATTTTGCTTCAAGATTGCGGGTTACAAGTTGATATTCACTAATTTTCATGAAAATAATAATAATAATAACAACAAAGTTGTGAGATTGGGAGTTTATACTAACCAACCCAAACACATGCTAATCAAATATCACAATTGGCTGCAGTGATTTACATTTGACAGATAAAAATAAGATTAAGATTAAGATTGTAAAATGATTGAGTTTTTTTGTTTTCACCTGTTTTTAGTTTATAAAAAATAAAATAGGATGAATTGGTCCTGTTGATAGATTAAGGGTCATTGCGTTAATATTATATATATATATATATATATATATATATATATATATATAATTTTTTTTAATTATATAAAAAGTTTTAAATTTTTATTTATTCATTAATACCTTTATTAAATTAAAAATTATTATATTCATGTATTAAAATATTTAATTATAATTAATAATTTAAATTCAATTAATTAATATTTATAAATTATAATATATTTATATATTTTGATAATATAAAATTAAAAATATAATATTTTTAATTATAATATTTTTTTTAATATATAAATATTTATTTGAAATTGATTAACAAATTAGTCCATCTTCGTCCTAAAAAGCAAAATATATTTGCGAGTTATAATTATTAATTTTTATTTTTATTTTTTAGTCAATTCCTCGAGTCTAATCTATTTTATCTAATAAAAAATAATAATAAATTATTATTTATAATTTATTTATATTATTTATTACTTTGCCAAGATAGTTTAATTTTATCAAAATTAAAAATCTAATATAATTTATTTATATATATAAATATAAAGCATGAAAATTTAATATTAAAAAAATAAATCATAAAATAAACAAGTATTAAAGATTTTTCGATTTCTAAATATATTTTATAAAAAATAATTTATAAGTACATAAATACAATACAAAATAAAGTTTTGAAAATAGTTTAACAAATTATTTTTCAAATCGGAGAATAGTAGAGTTAAATTTGCAAATTATTAACGAATATTTTTTTAAAGATCACTCATGTATTATTATTTTTTAAATAGTTATATAAATTTATATATTCATTTTCATAAATAAAATTTATATATTCATTTTCATAAATAAATAAATAAGTAATTTATTTTTTAAGGAAATTGTCATTCCATACATCATATACCCACCTATTCACACTATGAGATTATTACAGGATAGTAGAGTTAATAACGAGAGTAGTGGTTAAATGATAACCCTGATAAGGTTAGGGTACACTCATGTTCCTCAACAGAGCAGATTGAACCTTGTCCCGGTAAACATTATCCTCACCAAAGCAAACTTCAAACTCTTCACAAGGTGTCCTTTTTGTCATCGCCATTGTTCATTGTTAATTTCAAACTCTTCATAGATACAAATTTTGGCTCGAACCGAACTGTGTTCTTGTTGTGTTGGAAGAATTGTGATAGACGCTGTTCCCCTTTTCTTCTTCAGACTCTTATCCCTAACCAATTTTGGTCTCTGCTTTTGAGCTTCCATTAGTCTCCTGTTTTATTATTATTATTATTATTTTTATTTGATTATCAACCATAAGTATATCTCCAGAATATTATAATTATGCATGCCTTGAGCAATGGTTATGATTCTGTCTCAAGTACACATCAACCTTATACGTTATGTTGTGTTTCATTGTAGAAATGGGTTTAGGAAATGACTCTGAACGCCTTAGAACAATTTGGACACCCGAGATGGATCGTTATTTCATTGATCTTATGCTAGAGCAGGTTAATCTGGGCTGTAAAGTTGAAGATCATTTGTTTAGTAAAAGGGCGTGGAAGCATATGTCTTTAAAGTTCAATGCTAAGTTCAATTTTCAGTATGAAAAAGATGTTCTCAAGAACCGCCACAAAACGTTAAGGAATCTGTACAGAGGTATTAGGAACCTTCTTGGCCAACCAGGGTTTAGCTGGGACGAAAAGCGAAATATGGTCATTGCTGATAATGACGTTTGGGATGAATATCTCAAGGTATCAAAATTTGAAATCATTTTAAACCGTTTCAACTTTACTAAAGGAGTTCAATAGTTTATTTTCTGCATAATAATGCAGGTAGATATGAATGCACGATCATGCAGAGTAAAATGCATACCCAATTTTAAAGATTTGTGCACTATTTATGGACATGTGATGGAAGAAAAAGGTAGTTCTCTTTTAAACACTAATTTGTATGTCATGCTCGATGCTTAGAAGGTCCACTTTATTTTTTAACATGTAATGAATGTGAATTTCCAGGTGAAACTGCACCAGTAGAGTCATCTAATTCAAGCAAAAATGGAGCAATTGTTCCCAGTGTATCAAAGGATGTCTGTGAGGGGGCTAATGAACTCCTACATGATGTCAGTGCTGATAAAGACTGTGGAATCTCTACTGTGGAAAATGCAACCGATGATTGTGAGCAAAGGGTGTCTAAGGAAACAACAGTCTCTTCTGGTAACCGGAGCCGGACTTACTGGCAGCCACCAATGGATCGTTACTTCATTAACTTGATGCTTGCTCATGTGCAAAAAGGGAATCAATTTGATGGGGTCTTCAGCAAACAAGCATGGATGGAGATAATTTCATCATTCAATGTAAAATTTGGTTTTGAGTATAGTTTGGAGATTCTTAAGAATAGGTACAAAACTCTGAGAAGGCAATACAATTTAATTAAAACTCTCCTTCAGTTTGATGGCTTTGCCTGGGATGAAACACGCCAGATGGTTATTGCAGATGATTGCGTCTGGCAAGATCATATTAAGGTGCGTATGAATTGAATGCTGGGAAATTGAACCTCTTGGACGTACACTTAGAATTATAATTTGTTATATTGCCAATGTGAGTTGTCTGTTTCACCTAGTTTCCTTTTATGATGATTTATGAAGTTTGGAGTGAATGCTTATGGAAAATGGATTTCTAAGGTTATAAGTCTTATTTTTTATTCTTGGAAGTAATTTATTTTGCTGTAAATAATTGTATCTACTCATTTTTGCTCATGGTCTCATAATGAATTTAGTAATAGGCTCTCAGCCTTCCTCTACAAGTTTAAAAGGAAAAACCTATGTATTTCATAAATTCTGCAAAGCTCAAGGGTGTTCCTGGTAGTAGAGGTGTAAAGCAGACAGGTGGTAGGAAGGTTTTAATTTTCATTGTGATAACTTGTTATGGAAGATGAACAACAGAATCAATACAAATATTTATTTTTCTCCCTGCCAAGATTTTTCCTTCTTCACTGCTTGGTATCAGGTAAAATAGCCTGGAAGGAGAAAATGAAATTAGGGTCATTGGAAGTACCTAACTTAACCCCATGAAACCAACTTGTAAGTAGAGAATTGTCTACGATTTATAAGGATTACATTGGTCATATCATTAATTAACGTGAGATCTTAACTCATTGAAACCAACGCCTTAGTGACTGTCCTTTGCAATGCTTTACTCAGCTATTCTGGTCTTCCCCTTTGTAGGTGTCCTTTCTGACGTATGTGTGACAAACTCTGTTAGGCCGCAATTAAAGCAGGCTAGGATCATTGCAATTATAAGGTGGCTTTCCAACACTTATATTATGTGAAGAGAGAGAGAGAGAGAGAGAGAGAATATCTTGTGAGGGGGATCATACTCTGTATTTAGTTCCACATTTTTTAATGGGTGTTTATTTCTTTCTTAACATGACAAACTTACGAGAGATTTTTCAAATCTTAAAATGTTTTACAGTAATATACTATCCTAAAATGTTTTAATACTTCTAATATATTAATCATCTTATTTCACAAGGTTTAAAACATTCAATGTGTTTATACAGGTTCATCCTGATGCACGACAATATATGACTCGACCTTTGCCATACTATAAAGATTTATGTGTCATATTTGACCCACATTTTGATGACAAAGAATCTTTTCTGCCTCAAGATATGCATCCAAATGCAGATGATTTTAAGATTGAGTATCCTTCAACATCTAAAACTGCTCAGTCTCCAATTACACCCAGCTCCAATGAAGAACAATTTAGCGGTGTCAATGAGTTAACTTATATAAGTCAGAAACAGAAGCGCCAATTAGAGAAGTGTTCCAATTCTACCAGTCCTAAAAAATTAAGGACTGGTGAACAAGGTATGGCTGGTGCAGTCCATAAGATGGCAGCTGTAGTCTCAACGATGTCTGCCAAAAAGAGTGATACTTTAATATCAATAGAGAATGTCATAGAAGCAGTACAAGCATTGCCAGATATGGATGATGATCTGGTTTTGGATGCTTGTGATTTCTTGGAGGATGAAAGAAAAGCTAAAACATTTCTTGCATTGGATGCCAAGCTTAGAAAAAAATGGTTGATTAGGAAACTTCGCACATAGGTGTAGCCTACGCCGCCCTTCATTGTTCATTTCTTATTGGTTTTGGTCCATATTCTTTTTCTTTTAGAAGTATTAGCGTATTAGAATTTTTTTTGGACGATTCTAAGCAGATTAGTGCTACTAATCATTCTGAGAATAGAATTAGTATTTTGGAATGCAAAGTAAACTTTCATCGTCTTTAGCTAATGACTACACAAAATAAATAAATAAATAAATATATATATATATATATATATATATATATATATATATATATATAAAGAGAAAAAGAGAGTTAAAATTAGAGAATTATTATTTATTTTTATCATTTATATTCTTATAATCTAATAACTATGATGAATGATTGACTTGTATCATTATATTACTAAAAAAATATAAATGATATGAATCAATAGAAAGTTTCAAATTTGTATTCTTTGAGCGAATAGATTCTTCTTTTCTTTATATATATATATACAACGAGAAAGAGCAATGCTCAGCTTATCTGAATAGAAAGTGCGTCAAAAATTTGCATTTGCAGTTGACTTATAATATGATAATATTAACAAGATATTTATTGTAGTGAAATAGAATAATCCCAATTACAATAACTCATAAAACAAGGAAAATAAGAACATGGAAAGTGAAGTTGTATAATATTTTTTCCGTAAAAGTAAAATGTTTTCAGACTTTATCTTTCTATATTGAATGATCTTCCTTGCATTGCATTGCTAGCCTATCCAATACGTGGTAAGAAAAGCGATGTTTTCATGCTCTCTAGTCTCTGTTACAAGTAGTGTTGACACGTAATTTCAACCCGACAGAGAAAATGAATCTACGATTCTACCTGGTATACTGACCAGTTACCTCACGATGCGAATCAGACAAGGGAAACAATCTTTTACGACAAAGTTAACCCCTTCTGAATTTTATTGGAAAATTTTGGAATATCTACAGGAACAATGCTAGGATATTTGAAATGGTGGAAACAATTTCCAAAAAAATAATAGGAAAATCCACTCTAGCACCCTTTCAGTGTTTGAAAAGGTGAAAAGTCTATAAAATCACGACTAGTTAAGGCATTCATTTTACGCTATAAAAATCAAACTAGTGGTAAACATGATTGGAGTCAATAATAATATAATAGGCACCATTGCTATATGACTCACAAGGGATTGTCAACGGATTAAGCAAATTGAACAAATCATCATCATTGGCACGTTTTTCTCGCATAATCTAGTTATATCCGATAGCAAGAGTAAGGCATTAGGCTACTTAATCAGTTAAGCCAACGAAACACAAAATCGTGAGAATTAAAAGTACGTACGCAATAGTTCTAACCAATAATAGAATTGTCTTGAATATACATTAGATTTTAATTCCTACCTATAGCTTAGTTCTCTATACTGGGCATATCTCAGGCCATCCAACAGAAACATTGGTCCTATGACTAGGAATCAATTTCAAGAGTGAAACTACTACATATCTCCTTTTTTCTACCCAATGAATTGAAACTTGCAACTGATGTCCTTTATTGTTTCGATCAGAAGTCAGGATCAAGGATAGTAGACAACAAAAGTCCCTGTACAAATTTACTGCGCTGTGCTTTCTCTATTTGGTCTTTGTCAGATAGATATGGCTGAACATTCCTGCAACAATTAAAATTTTAGGTACATGTTTAAGTGAAAGATGAAAGTAGTTTACGTACATTACCTATCTAATAATAGGTACAATGTCAAACAAGGTTAAGTTAACAAGAAAATAATGACTGTCATATTAAAAGGTACAAGTAACAAAAATAACCATTTTCCCTAAGGCCCTACCTTAAAAAGTGTAGAAAGAAACAAAAAAAGACCTGCGCTTTTTTGGGTAGTTGCATATGAAGGAAAGTTTTTGGCTGGAACCATCATTTGCCTCAAGGTACCTACCTATACTAGATGTAGAAGTATGTAGTCTAGACAAAGAACAATTAATTGCCCGCAGCGGGAGCTACGGATTTAATTACATTAATATAAAAATTACTTAAAAAAAAATCAGATCCAACTGTTCTAGGGGCTGCTTCTAATTATTTCAGGAGGTGTGCCTGTCTTGAATATTTATAGATTATTGCTTCACAAAGAGAAAGGTGGTCTTAGAAAGATTATTGCTTCACAAGATGAAAGGTGGTCTTAGGAAGTCAAGTTTTTTGGTATTATTGAGCATCTAAAAATAGGATTTTATTTATTTGTCTTTCATTCACAAACTCTACAATGATGGATCAAGTATGGGAATGGACAACAAATTTGAGATTTCTTAGTTGATGTTTGACAATTCATGAATAATGTGAAATGACACAGTTGAAAGCGTGATACTTCATCATACCTTTCTAACACTTCATCATTTGAGTGTACTTCTTCAATGCTTATTTCACTTGAAGAATCTGGCAGCACATTTTCACATTCACCAACAGCAGATGCACCATATAAAAATGACAGCCATGGATCACTTGATGCCTTGGAGGTAGACATCACAGGTGACAACCCGGTAGAATAAGGTTGCCAGTGTCCATCCCGTTCACCCTTTCTTGAAAAGGAAAGAGCTGGGTAGGATTCATCTTTGTAGCATTTTGATTTGAGCTGACTGTAATATCCAGTAAAGGAAGTACATAGTTGAATGAAGGACAAAGACTTCTGTTAAAAGTAGACAAAAGGGCAACAAACTAATACTATTTATTAATAGATAAAAACATTTCTATCAAGCAGACCAGAAAGGATATCTTAAACAAATGTTGTGCTGCTATATGATCAACCACATTTGACCCTATCCACACGGTACAAACAGGACAAATCTGCATGAGCAAAAAGAGATAGATAGCTTAAGTGCAATTCAATAAGCACAAGCATAGATAGTAATGCAAATTGTAAGTAAATTGAGAAATAGATCAATTGTATAAGAAAAAAGTATACACACATCTGAATTTTAGGGCTATTGCAAGTAGCCATCCCCCAAATCAGGAGAAATATTTAAACATATCATTTTATTTCCCTTTCTAACAAATTCTGTAAATTATGTGCTAATCATGCATAGCCTGTCTCACATCTCATTGCCACTTAAAAAATAAAAATAAAAAAACTTATGACATAATTATACAATTGATATTTTAAGCATGGACATTAAAGAAATGATTATGCATAGAAAAACACAGTGATTTAATGAATTATAGGAATTGTTTGACAGATAGGGATTATTCTCATAGTTTGAGGGAGAAGAAGGGGTTGCACAATTGATGGACTTAGTTCATGGTGGTTACTTGCAATCTCCCTAAAGTCCAACTGGTGTGTGTAAGTGTGTGTGTGTGGCTGATCATAGTTAAAATCAACCAACAATAAAGTAACAACATCGACTTTACATGGAAGCTCATTATAGATGTGCCAAAGATCTAAATTGAACTCATATGGAGTAACCACTTCAGGTTCTACAAGCTAAGATCTTGTCAGGAACCACATCTTTAAGGGGCTTCTGCATAGATGCAATATATATAAAAAGCCAATAAGAACATCATAAAAAGGTTTCACTTTGCAAAATAACATCAATGGTCAGCCCCAAGTCAAGATAAACATGGTATTAATCGTGAAATAGAAGTAATAATGAATATTTTTCAAAGGCAATAGAATGCAGATATGCAAAGGTCAATTTAAAAAGCTATCTCAATTTGTTAAAAGAAATTTTTTATGTCTGTTGTCTGCAATGATGACAAGAAAAATATTGACTCAAATTACAAGCATCATAACCATGCCGATGATTATTCACAAGGGAATGCTTTTAATTAAAATATATGTAACTTGTTGGACACATTAGCATATTTCAAACGGAACCAACACTAGCCTCTTTCGTTCTTTGTAAACTTGGTATTCAATAAATCAATTACAAAGTTAATAACTACGGAGGAACTTTCTTTGCAAAGCACCAAAACCACCCAATCTGAATGAGATAGTTTCAAAACTATAAGGCCAACAATGGGAATGCGATATATCTCCATAAAAACCCACCGACTTGGATGGACTAATTGTAGCCAGGCAGAAATAAAGAGGCGTCAACAACAAGGCAAAGAGTATGGAAAAAGTTCTATGCAAAGCCAAAAAAACAATACTAAAGTGGAATAGATTAAGGTGAGAGGTAAAAAAAATACCCCAGCCTTGGTTTCTATTGGATGGTCCAAGTCAATATGGCAACATAGCTCAAGAAGATCAAAATCCTCGGCGCAAAAGGGGCATGGATAAGCCGTCCTAAACTCCTCATCCCCATTGACCTCATCAAAATCGATGAAGAGCTCTGCTACAAGAACCAAACAAAAAGGTTAAACATTTAGCCAAAAGAAGACGCCTCACAAGATCAAAACCAACAAAAACAGTATCCACAAGGCTGGAATGAACCAAACGTGGTTATAAGGAATCACCGAAGTGTGACTTGAGCCTGGATTGGTAGCTTCTGGAGGCAGTAGAGCGGCCAAAAGTGTAAGTTTCGTCTTCCATCGACTTGTGCTAAGCAGAGTGTACAAGCACGACGAAAAAAAATAAAAGGGTATTTCTGCTACACGGTAAAGTTTTCAAAGGAATCGTCGTTGTTTTTCTTGTGTGTGCCGGTGTAAGACGAGAGTGGTGCGTGTACTATATTTATATTGTTACTGTCAAGGGAAATAGGAGGAGGAAAATACCAGGGACTTTCGGCTTTAGATTGTGCGTGGTTGTTGCCTCGGGGGATCCTTAGCCCACACGAATTCTGGTTATTTCGAATTTACCAAAAAGCCCTCCATGCCCGTTTGCTCCACCACCACATGTTAATTTACCCTCACTTGTAGCCCAAAACCCATTCAAATGTATAAAAAGATTAAAAAACTAGGAAAGTAATTATGAATGTTAGTAACAAATTAAAAAATAACTAATTTAATATTTTCTCATAAAACATAACAACAATGAGATAATAAATTGCTTTGAATTGATAGTAACTGACTTAGTTAATAAGATAATAATCTCTTTGGGTGGTTAGCTTATTATTAACCCTTTTAAGCTGGTATAACCACACAAATTTATTTGATTGAAGAATAGAGGTTATGTTTCTTAAGGTTAATTTTGTTTCAAGAGAAGAGGAAAGAAAAAAATTATGATTATATACACCATCTAAAAATGTGTTTGAGATGTTAAAACATAAAGAGGAAAGAACACATTCTATGGATCCCGAAAAGGTTTATCTCCCCATATTAAGACAGGAAAGGGAGAAGAAGGTTTAAGCAAAGGATGAACAAACAAATGTTTCTTTTTATAACATATTTTATTTTGTGAAGTGTTTGTGATATTTTATATGTAAGTACTTTATAACCTGTAACATAAGAGACAGCAATATTAAAGTATAAAATTTTTTAAGACTGAGATCGTTTTTTTTTTTTTTTGCGAAGATTTATTTGAAACATAAAATAAATATACTTTAAGTAGAAACGTATTTAGTACAATTAAAGTTTACAGTTTTTTTTTTATATGAGATAAACTAATATTTAAAATAAAGAGAATAATATAAAAATGCTAACAACGTCAAACATGGTCAACACATTAGAGCTTCGAAGTTCATGTATGGTGAGATTAATTTACAAATATGACCCTAGTCTGTGATTCCTAATCCCCAAAACTTGTACGATTCTTGTTGCTGGTAGTTGTCCAGGGAAACCAGAGAGATAGTAGTTGATTTGGTATCGGATTCAATGGCGACGAGAAATCGAACTGTAGAGTTTAGGAAGCACAGAGACGCCGTTAAGAGCGTGCGCGCTCCTCTCTCCTCCTCCGCATCTGCTTCTTCCACCGGTCCCGTCATCGAAATGGTTACCACTTCGCTTCTTCCTTCCAATCGATCATCCTATGCTCCTTTAAGCACCGAGGACCCGTCCACCTCTAGGTTTTTATTTTTCACCAATTCACAATCCATTTCGTTTCTGCACAAGTCTTTCTGCGCTTTAAATTCATATATTCACATTCATAATAGCGATACCCTATGTGTAAGTGCCTTAAACTAGGTGTTGAACATTGTTGGACTTGATTGTTAATGACACCTTTAAAATTATAGGGATGCGTTTACTGTGGGGTTGCCACCGTCTTGGGTGGATGATTCTGAAGAAATAGCTACAACTATACAACGTGCTCGGATTAAAATTTCTGAGTTAACCAAAGCTCATGCGAAGGCTTTGATGCCTTCCTTTGGGGATGGCAATGAGGATCAGCGTCTTATTGAGAATCTGACCCAGGAAATTACATCTCTTCTTAGAAAGTCTGAAATGAGGCTAAAAAGACTTTCTGCTGCTAGCGGATCTTCTGAGGATTCTAATGTTAGAAAAAATGTACAGGTAGGGTAATTTTGATATAAAAATAATATATACTATCAGTCCATCATGCATATACAGTGCAAACTAATTGTCCAGACTTTTTATTTTTCTTCAGTTGAGGTTCACTGTTATTGACTTAATGTTCTTAAGATCGATATAGGTTCTTGTGCAATTATTTGCTTTGGGTGCAAAAAAGAAAGTTTATAAGTTGGATAGTGGATAAATACATAACCTAAGCTCTGCTTACTCTCGGTCAGTTCAGGACTCTGGTGGCTGTCCGAAAGATAGATAAGCTATTGCATGAAGTTTTTCTTCTATTCGACTATGATTATGAGCCCTTATTTTGCTTTAGTCTCCTCCATCGTTTAAAAGCCTATTCGGATCTTTTTCCTGTTTCTCCTTGTTTTTCATGTAGTGCTGTATCTGAAGATCCTATCCTCATTTGGATTTTGTTGTTGGGTGTGTATGAGAATTAAAATAAGGGAAAATGTAGGGTAAACCCTTATTCTTAATTGAATGTTATGTTACCAATTCACTAGGTAAAGGAAATAGGGAGATAGTTAAAATAAAAGATTAACAATAATATAAATGTTATTTTACCCCTCTATTTTCTTAAAAGAAAAGAAAAACTAATGTAAATTAACTTAATATACTTTTTTCTCCCCAGAAAAGTAAGGAAGGGTTTGTGAAAAATCTTCATTCCCTTTCCTCCATTTAGATTACCCGCGCAAGAGAATGGCTAATCAAGCCTTTCCCTTCCTTCTCTTTTATAATATAATCACTCATCCAAATATACTATTAGTTTCATTACAAAGATTTTACACTATTTATTTTGAAAATGGTTCTTTGGTGAGAAGTGGTTTGTAAATAGAGAAGAATTACTTCCATCTTGGTTACTTGCTCCTAATTTTAGGCAGTTTATGATATGCCAGTTTTTGCTTTTATCATGAGATTGGTATGACTGGCTTTTTGTATCTGCTTTTGGCAGCGTGCCCTTGCTACAGACCTTCAGAACCTATCAATGGATCTTCGGCGAAAACAATCAGCATATTTGAAACGTTTGCAGCAGCAAAAAGAGGTTGGAACTTTTTATGTGTAGCTAATTTTCCACTCCAAAATTTTATATATGCCACCATTTTTATTGGTCTGATTCACTGTTTGATAACTCATCAATCTAGTTCTCAAGACTAATCGATTTTTTATTATTCTTTTCTTTCTATTGTTATTCAAATGCTTGAATCATGGTCATTCTATCCTGATTCTGTGTCTGCATCAGTGAGACTACGGTGTGTGTGTGTGTGTGTGTTTTTTTTTATGTTGCTTGACTAATTACTATATTTTGGGTTTTGTCATACAGGGTTATGATGGGGTTGACTTGGAGATGAACTTTAACGGGAGTAAATTTGGATCAAATAATGATGAATTCAGTGATGTGGTATGTGTTCTTTTGGCAACTATTTATCTGGCACGGCCATATTTTTTTAAGATACTTATGCTGCGTGTAAACTATTATAGGGGATGTAGGTACTTAGGGAGGAGAGGGAGAAAATAAAAACTATTTGCAGTGTGTATTAATGTAACGTTTATGTTACAAATGCCGAACCACTTGTACCAAACCCTGAACCCTAGTTAAATAAAATATAAATATGAGATAATAAAGGAGATATAAAACCAATAATTGAGAAGATTAGGAAATATTAAAATTAACTGTAAGATACTAGCTTACTCAAACATAAAATATGACTATTATAGATATATTTCATACATTTTAACATTGTGCTACTAAAGGTAGGGTGTATTTATTTTACTTATCAAGTGATTATTGATCCTTTCTTTTCTTTCCTAGCAATTTATTTTTACTTGTTTGCAGTGTGTGTGGTAATGGTTATGTTACAAATGATGAAACACTTGTACTTGTACCAAAGTCTGAACCCTAGTTTATATAAGGTATAAAATATTAGATAATATAGGAAATATAGAACCAATCATTGAGATGATAAGAAATATTAAATTAACTGATATACCAACTTATTCTAAGATAAAATAAAGGTATGATTGATATATATTTCATATATTCTAACACTGTGTAGGATGCATTTATTTTTACTTACCAAGTATTATTGGTGATTTCTTTCTTTTCTTTCCTAGCAATTATTAATGCTAGATTATAATGATGAAACTGCAAGACTTCTGTCCAAATTATGCAGCGACCTCAATGAATAATGAATATGACATGTAACATGAATACTATATGCCATGGACATGGATATACTGCAAATTTTAAAGAACATAAGACACAACATGGGTATAATATAAGGTATAAAAGTTAATCTAAAATTAATATTTATTGGATATCTTTTGTCACAAGAGAGAACTCATGTTTTAAAAAGGAGCATCATTCATTGTAAACATAATAAAATGCTAAAATTTATCCAATTATTGCAGTGTCCAATTTGTGTTGGCAAAATAAAGTTTTAAAATATAATTGAAACTTGTAAAGATGAAACTAAAAGTATTCAATGTGTTTATGCAGTGCCTGACATGAATAAGTGTACGACACATGATTTGGCTGGCTAGTATTTTGTAGTCCATGCTTTTTAGCTTACAACCCGTCAGTTAGAAAAAGGGTTGTATGTGTGTGGAGAAGAACTTAATCATGTCTTGAATTTATGAAAATATGAGGATATATTTACCATTTATTTGAATCTTAAATGAAGTTTCTCTTAGAAGGAGTAGCGTGATTTATTAAGCTCGTTTTGCTTCTGATGCAATTTGTCTCTTCGGACAACTTTCTATCCTTACAATGAAGTTGACAGTTTAAAAGCAGCGTTAAATGATATGAAATGTTTTACTTGCATTCTTCTTGATCCTGGATGAAGTTTTATCCAAAGTAAGAGATAATGATATTTGGTTTTTGATTAACTCCAGGGTTTTAGTGAAGAGCAAATGACAAAGCTAAAGAAAAGTGAGCAGTTCTCAGAGGAAAGGGAAAGAGAGATTGAACAGGCAATTTCAAGGCATTTGGTGTATTGCTTGAAGAAAAATCACTTTGTTTATCTTGTCTGACTTTGTGAGATTTGCTGTAGGTTGTTAAATCAGTACATGAACTTGCGCAAATCATGAAGGATCTCTCTGTCCTTGTGATAGATCAGGTGAATGCTCCACCCTAGTATAAAATGGATTTATAGAATAAAAGCTGACTCAAGAAGCTGGTATTCATGCAGGGAACAATTGTGGATAGAATTGACTACAACATTCAGAGTGTTTCTACGTCCGTTGAAGAGGGCCTTAAGGAGTTGCAAAAGGTTCTATTTTCTCTCATGCCCTTGCTTACTCGCATAGAGACTTTGCTCTCTCTTTATGATTGCAAATTGGAGCACCTTTTGGAATTTTGCAGCTGCTGTTTTGCTGGTTATTATCATTTTAAACATTTACTTTTGTACTACAGGCTGAGAGAACGCAGAAAAAAGGAGGGATGATTATGTGTGCAACATCGCTTATTATAATGTGCTTTATCATGCTAGTTCTCTTGATACTCAAGGTGATCTTATTCTAGTCTCTTATCACACCACTCCAGCGGCCTGCATGATGTTAATTCTTCCGTTTGATGTGAGTCAAATTGCACTCTGTTTGAAGACAAGTATCATTAGCACTACGATAATTTACTTCAGGTGTATGGGATTTGTTCTTAAAATGCCTTGGGCTTACATTATTGGCTCCTCAGTGAACAAGATGGGGATGGCATTGTACAGCATCTCTTCGTGTAAAGATAGATATTAGTTTTGACAAATTCAGTAAAGAGGGATTTTCAGCAAGTTCATCTCCCAGTGGCCAATTTTCTTTTGGAAAAAAAAAAAAAAAGTAGTGCTAGATAGAAAAAATTGTGCTAGAAAATACATAAGACGAAGTAGAAGGACAACTTGTATACATCCAAAAATCATCAAACATGTTAATATTTTATCAACTTTGACTCTATTGTTTGTTTCACTTGATTTTGCTAAGGGGAAAGATGTTAGGACGAAAATTATCTTTTATTCCCTCTTGGTTGACATGAATAACAGGAAAAATTAAAGTTTGTGAGCCCATAAGAGAAAACTTCATTTGATTATATGGGGTAGAAAGTGGGATGATAACGGAACTTTTGCATCAAAATATCAAAACTCTCTTTATATATATATATATATATATATATATATATATATATATATATATATATATATATATATATATATATATATATATATATATATATATGTATATGCTATGTTTTATGTATTTTTTTCTAATATAAAAAGTTGAAGAGTGAAAACAGTTGCGAATTGTTTCTTAGATTCTTATTGTTTTCTTTCTATTTTTATCTGGTTAAAATATTTACTTAAATTTTTTTTTCTGAAAGTTATATACTATTAGTTGTTATCATTTTAAATTTTAGTCCCCATAGATGCGTTAAAATCGTGGCCTCCATTACTAACACTAAAACTATGAAATCATTCTAAAAAATTTCTGACAATGATAAACGGTGACAAAATAATTATTCATGGACTAATTTTTATAACTTTTATTTTCGGTAAAATACGTTGTGTTTGTGTATAATTCTTAAAATATTAAATGTTTTTTTAATTGATAATATTCTCGTCTCCCCAAAGATTAAATATATTTTTAAGCTTCTCTAAAATATAAAAGTATTTTATAGTCATTGTTAATAATATCAATAGATGATACATTTATAAAAATGACAGTGTTACCATAGTATTAATTATACATCTAAATAAAATCATTTTGAATTATATAATTTATATTTTAAAACTTTCATTTACATCTATATTTGTCTATTCTTACTTTTAAAAAAGAATTTTAAAATATTAAAAATCTTAGAGGGGGAAAGTAATATATTTTTTTGCCAGATACATTTAATATATTTAATTTATAGAAGTGTAATATATGTTTTTCTTTTTTTTTTTAGGCGGAACTAATTTAAAACAAAAACATATGCAAGTACATTTTAATATATTTATTTTAAATTCAATTTTATATTTTAAATTTTTAATATAATCCAATTAATCGATGTACTTCTTTTTTAAGAAATTCACAATCAAGTTCATCCTAAAATATCGTTTGATCAAAACAATTTATTTGGTTGTGACTAAAACATTTTTCACTTAATCCGCATATGTCTCTTTCAGTTGAATCATACTTGAGTTATAGGATTGAACTCGATAGAATCATTGTACTAAACAAGTCTTGTTCATTATGTTAATTATTATTTCCTTTCTACAAATTAATATTAAAGTAAAAAAAAATAACAACAATAAATCAATGTATTAAAAATAAAAGACGCATAGAACATGATATGTGCATAATTGTCACAAAATCAAAAAGTTGAGAAAAAATTTGTAAAAAAAGAAGCAATAAAAAAGTAATACATAAAAAGAAGAAAAAGTTTCAATTAAAATCATTAAATACTTAGCAACTATATATGATTACTCTTCTCAATTAATACTTTAATTTTTTAAAATATATTTTTTAATTATTTAATAAAAAATATAACATATAAATTAATTTGATTTTAATTTACCATATATAATAATAATCTCAATTTTATCCAAATTAAATTAAATAAATATGAATTTAAATTTAAAGTACAATCAGAAAATTCAGATTAACTTGATTTAATTAACATAGTGTTTACGGTGGAATTTCAATCGATTTCGACTCTTAAGATGTTTTGATGCTAACCAAAATTCTACCACATAAGTTCTTTTTACTTAGGTTAGCAAATTAATTTTCAATCGAAATGTGTATGAGGATCGAATTTTACCCGATTTCAAAGATACTATTTTTGGTGTTTTGTATTAAGAATACTCGAAGTAAAGAAAGCAGGAAATATACTGGAAATCGAAAATCAGTGCTGAAATTTAGATTACAAAGAAATGTAAACTATGAGAATCTTAAATTTGCTTTAAGTATAAAAGACGGTAAATCGAAACAGAAATGATGTAAATAACGAGAAATCGAATTTGCTGGAAATGTAAAGGACAGTAAATCAAATGTGCAATAAATGACTGGAAATCGAAATTGCATTAATGTAAAATGACTAGGGAATATAAATACGGAAACTTAACTTGCATTAAATCGAACTGACCAAGAATCGAAAATACATAAACATAAAATTGCTGAATATAAATTGCATCAAAATAAATTACCAAGGAAAGTAAAGAAAGCGGTAAAGGTACTCCGTGAGCATGGAAATCCAGATTGCCAGAAGTTTCATGGTGTTCGTCGTTTCTCTGGTAGACTTTTTCACTACTAATCCTGTTCTCTGCCAATTTCTGCTCCCCTATTCCTTCCTCCTCTGCTCTATTTATAGGGCATCATTCAAGCCTTCTAGGAGCAGTTAACAAAACTGCTACCACGTTCTTCGTGCGTGTTGCAGTTTCTTCTTCTATGGTGTTAAAACTGCACTCACGTTCCCATGATCTTCTTCCTCTGCCACGATTTAGAAACTATTTCTTATGTGCATGTTTAACTCCTTCTCTTTAAGATCTGGCCACGATTTTGATATTTATGCGGGTTGACCTTTCTTTCGATTTAGACTTTGATTTTATCGAGGACTTTGGATTACTTTTGATTTCTTTTAACCTTAGCATCATATACTTCTAATTTCTTGGTTTGTTCCACAATAAACTCATTATTTCTCCGATTCCGACTCTAACTTTCGATTTTATGTGTCATGCCCTTCTAATTGGACATCGAATGGTTTCTCATCCACCTTTTCGCTTTACCGATCAGTCACATGTTTCTCGATTTTTCTTTCCTTCATTTTTCGATCGCTTTTCTCGATTTCCTACTAACAAAATGCCCCCTTGGAAGAATATAAATCGTTTCTGTTTATATTCTTTCAACGTGATTCCCGCCTTTGCTTGTTAGAGGCCCACAAAACTTAGGGTTTAGGGTTTTGGGGGTTCTAGGGTTTACAGGGTTTTCAATTTTCCTTTTGCTTTATGTCGCCATCGCGTCAGTCTGCTGTCTTACTGTACACGCTACATTAATTACCTTTCACCTCCGTCGTTTCCAGCCCCCTAGGCTATTTTCCTTTTAAACTCTCTATTGATTTTTTACTCTGGTTTTTTACGCGAACTTTTACCTCTTTGCAACTTCGTCTTCCTCCTTGTGCTCTTATCTTCGTCCCTGCGCCTTCATCTCTTACCTTGCTTTTCTTCATCCTACCAGTTACTGAAATGGCCACTTCCTCCAAATCTTCTGACTTTTCCGCTCCATCCCTTCCTTCCTTGGCATCAAACCTGCTGGCGATCAACAATCAGAAGTTCGCTCCAGTCCCTCTAATGGAGGAAGCCTCTCGGAAAATTGCTGAGACGCAGGTACTTATTCCTTACACTGCTGATGGTGTTAATTACGCTTTTGGGGGTCCTCTTCGTCCTATTGATGGAACCTTTTCTCCCTTCAACCTCTCGAATAGTTCGGCTCTGGTACACCAACCTGAAGTTAGGATTGATTTCTTGAACCTTGTCTCTAAGGTGTATTGGACAAGCCCACCTTCCAAAAAACCTTTGTACATTAGATGGTTTGATAGGGTCAAAGCTAAATTCGGTGATCATTGGAGAAGTGTGGGAATTTTCGATTTTTTGCACCTGTCCCGATGTGACTTATCTTATTTGGACATGGCTATGTTCTTGGCTGCTGTTCATTTGTGGAATAAGGAAATACATGCCCTGGAATTACCTTGCGGCCCTCTTTCGCCTACCCTTTTTGAAGTCGCGGCCATTACTGGATTAGAACCTATAGGGGAAAGATATTTTAAAGGTGCATGTCCCTCGGATAACTCTCTAAGATCTAAGATCGATTGGGAATCGAAAGCTTATGGACATTTCCTTGAAAAACATTTCGTCAATGATGAATCGATAACTGTAACTGATGAAGAGCATATCGCCTTTTTGGTGTATTGGTTGTATACCCACGTTTTTTGCCCTCGATCGATTTTTGAGAGCATCCTTCCCCCAACTTCTACCGTCCCCCCAAGTGTGAATATAGAAGGGGCCCGATTGTCTTCTCGCCATCCTCACCAAAAGTCCGATGAAACTGCTTATTGTAGATACCTCAACTTTTTGTTAACTAAAGTTAATTTCGATTCGACTTTGGCTCCTTTTACCGTACATCCGGGACGAATAAGTGACCAACTCGGGGGCCAATTTGGTTTAAGTCGAAATTCCTCGCTTCAACTCCTGGGTTGCAATTAGAGTTGATAGATGTATGGAATAACTATTTAACTCATGATATACTAGTATCGGGTTTCCAATCCAAAGATTTCAAATTCATTACTTACTATCCTCAACTTTTCTCGAGGCAATTTGGTCCGAGCCAGTCCTTACCCTTCTTCCCCTTAGATATTTCCCCAAGGTCCAAGTTAACCGAATCGACAATCGGACGGGAACTTGTCAAGTTTTTGCCAAAAACTCCGATGCATTTTTACCCCTATGTTTTTGAATCAAATTATTTATCGATCGTGGGTTTTTCTCAATGGTGGGCTATTTGGTTCTCGAGTAATCATGCTCGCTTTTGACGAGGTCCGACAGAAATTGACCGCTCATCCTTCTTTTGTGTTGCAGGACAAATCGAAATCGAAGAAAGGTATACACTTCCACTTGTCTCCAAATATCTCGATTCGAGAATTTTTATCAAATATGTTATAACCCACTGAAATTAGAATCGACCTTTTACGATGCTGTTATCTCCTTATCCTATAAAACAGACACTAATCGATC